GACTCCCATCCCACGGGAATCCCGTGACCTGTGGGATTCCCGAAAAAATGTCAGTCTCAAGTCTGCATGGCTGTTCTGATCATTCCTTATTTTCTGTCTCCTCTTTCGATCATCCTCAGTAACACCCACCCATCCTGCTGACCACGGAGCTCAGGTGGCACTGATCCAGAACCTCTAGCAGCTGCTGGTCCAGGTGTCTCTTACAAGGGTCCAGATTATCCCTGACGGTCCCGCTGAACAGGAAGGGGTCTTGAGGAATAATGGCCAGCCTTGACCTGCAGAGGCCACAGAACCGACACAGGTGACAAAGAGCTAAAGACAGCTTGTATCACACAAGAGTTTCAGAAAAAAAACACTTCTGCCTGCCTGTACCTTAGCTGAGCAACGCCAACAGTGCTGATATCCAGCTGATCCAGGAGGATCTGCCCCTGGTTGAGTTCCACCATACGAAACAGGGCCAGAAACATGGTGGATTTTCCGGAGCCTGTCCGTCCCACGATGCCTATCTTCTCCCCAGGTCTCACCGTCAGGCTCACACCATCCAAGGCGTTAGGAAGACCTTCCCTGTAGGCCAGAACCACATGGCAGAACTCCAAGGAGCCCCGTTCTGGCCATGCAGCGGGCAGCTGGTGTACCAAAACAACAAAGACGAAGAGAAATAGCAAAGGATTAAAAACCTGTTCCAATTGCGAAGCTGATTTGTTTTCAGGTCTTACCTGAACATTGAGCTCCTGAGGCTCAGTTGGCAATTCGGTTGAGTATTCCTCTGTTCGCTCCACACTAACCATCTGCATTTCAGTCTGTGTGAAGCTGAATATGAGCCCAGACAGCAGTTGTGTGATGGACAGAGCGTAAGACAGGGACAAACCCAACAGACCTGAGCAGAACGACAAGGACCGTCACATACAGTGCCATTCTGGATAGCACATCTACTGGGAGACAATCGCTGCTTCACTTTCTCACCTGGGTCCACAACGCCATACTGCTGCTGGACGACAGCTATCACCCCGAGCCCTGTCACCACAGCAACACCAATTAGCTGCAGGCGGATGTCCAGCCACTGCATGGCGGCGTTGCTGACGAACAGGCAGCGCTGGTTCTGCTCCAGGCGTTTGGAGTTCTCCTCCCTGAACCTGAAACGAGGGAAATCAGTCTGTTTCATTTTCTCGTTTAGAATGAAAAGTCACAGACAATGCCATAGTGGAGAAGAAGCTGTGAGACCAGATACTGTGGAAGCAGCAAGGAGGCTTAGCTGAGCTATTAAGGACATATGGATACATTGGATTTGTTCGATTTCAGAGGCTGTATCCTCCATGGAGCTGATCTATCTGGACTGGATCCTTTAAGGTCTGTGACAACAAGGAGACCGGGAGAGTTTTGGCTGTGAATCCAAACAGGTCCAGCCTTCATCGGCTTTTACAGCCATATGCTCTGTCAACCTATCAACCACGAGAGTTAAAACACAAAAACATTTATACCGAACTTCTCCGTGCTGTTCTGGGCAACAGCTGCATCGTATCAAATTTATAATCCCTTACACTGCAGATATATTAGAATCTGTCCTTAAATGTCAGCCAAACCCTTTTACACAGGCACAGATAAAAACATTTCAATAAATCAAACATTACCCACATATTTCTGACTCAATGAAAATAACTATTTTCATTAGTTTTAGATGGAACTATTCACATACTTGTAGTATATAAAACTGTACTTCCAATATTCGCCACTGTTTAGTACCAAGAAGCTTTTTCCTCTGAGCACGGAGCAGCCGGCTTCCATGGACTCACAATGAATCAGGGGATACCCAAGGCTACATAGGATACACCGGAGCAGTCCTTCAGAACGGGTGAAAGAAGGATGCATTTTTCAGCCGCATAACTAAGAGTCTTGCCATCCGAACAGACCTCAATACCGCGCCTGTAATCGGCCAACGAATCTGGCCTTCGAAGGACGTAGCCGCTGAATTCGAACTCAACAATCATGTTTGGAAAAGCTAATCATTCAATTAGCCATAGCTATTAGTAATTAGCTTTTACTCTATCGTGATGCTGTGGTTAATAATATGAGTAAAGTTGTCAGGTTTATTCAATGATGATTATAAAATTAATGTGTGCTTATGAAACGTTTGTGCAAGGGGATGCTCCACTCCTGTCTCATGATTCA